TTACTGATTCCAACTACATCCATAGCTCTTCTAGTTTCAAGGTATTCACTAGCATCATCAATACCATCCAGTTCATAACAGCTTGACTGATTTAGATAATGGAATGACTGTGGGTTTCCCAGCTTGTACTTCTTTATGTCCTGCAAAATAGCCAAGAAAAAAGGAAAAATGAGTACTTCGGATGAAGAAACACATAACGTGTCAATTAGGAAAAGGAGAACATCTTGAGATACCTCTGGTGGAGCAGCACAAAGAAGATAAAAACAATGGTAGTTTCTCTCAGGGTCTGAGATTTGGCAAACACGAGACCTCTCAAGCAGATAAGTCCTGATAGCTGCCCCAGATATCCTTCCATGCTTGTCAAATTGAATTTCAACAAATTTACCAAAGCGACTGCGACAATAATTATAAACTATGTTAAATGTTATCCAAACCAAGCATTTTAAAAACAAAGCCTAGTAACTAACTAAGTGCTAATTTGGAAAGATGGTGAATGCAGACCTCGAATTGTTGTTCCGTAAAGTTTTTGCATTGCCAAATGCTTCTAGAACTGGATTGGACTGCAATATTTAAGTGGGGATATAAGCATTAAGTTGTATCCAGCCATAAATGGAATAATCTTCACTGGTCATGAAAAAAATTAAAACAAACCTCTAAGACTTGTTGTTCAACTGTTCTTCCTTCTACACCAGACCTCCCTCCCAAAAAGGCAAGGTACCTCATGAGCATCTTTGTCGTCTCGGTTTTACCAGCACCACTTTCTCCACTTACCAAAATCGAATTGCTTTTCCCTTCATTAATCATCGCCCTAATATCTTACACCATGACAAAATCAGCAAGTGATCTAACGAGAGAGATACAAGTATGATAAGAAGATGAATGTGAAACATGCACAAACCTGTATGCAGCATCCCCGATTGCAAAAACATGAGGACTTAGTTCTCCAAGTCCAATTCCTTTATATTGTTCCATCATATCAGTTGCATAAAGATGAGGCAACCTTTGGAATGGATTAACTGCAATTAAGATATTCCCTGTATATGTCTGCAGAAATAACACAGAGCTACTCAGTATAAAATAATAGCTTATTCTGCAGCAACAAAAAGTAAGAGATGCTGTAGAAAAAGGTAAGATTTCTCACGTAGATGTGATTAAGTTCATATCTCGTCTCAAGGTTTTGCAAGACTCCGGGTTCATGCAAGTATGAAAGCTTTGTCATGTCATCTACACCTCCAGGTGAAACCTCTGTATCCTTGGGAAAATATACATCCGTCACAACCTGGAAGCCATAGGACATGGGGCTATGTGAGGAAGATCATGGGCTAAACTTGAAGACAAAGAACTTATCATGAAAATGTGTTGTGGTAAAACTGATAAGCATGAGAAACAGTTGTGCTATCACATCTCACGCTGCATTATACTACATTGAGTCGTTTCCCTATTAAACGGTTCACAAGAACCAGCTCTCAAAACATATCAAGATAAATATAAAGCTAGCTTGCAAGCTTTATATACTCCATACCATAATGCGTTAAAAAAATTGCCTTATTGACATCCAAATCCATATCGATAACTTCCTCTCCTCTATTAAGTATGTTATTTTTAGTTATATCACAGCACTTAAAAGCACAATTATTAACCTACATCTACTTTCAAATGCAGAAGGTAAAACCTTGCAACCTAGGGTTCTATGAAAGTATCCCATTCCAAAATCAAATGTACAGGTTTTCAAAGTGTAAATTCACCAGCTCACTTATTCCAACAACTCTTTAGACTTTCACTCCACATGTCATAGCTCCTCGTTGATACAAGTAAAAGAAAAAGAAAAAGTTGGAATCTTACGGTTTTGCCTTTCTTGGTTTTGACATGAATGTTGTGACCATCGATTCGAGTAACTATTCCATCTATCCATGCTAAATGCGGATCTTCAACCCACACATGCGAGCCCACAATTATAACCGGAGCAGCCTGCAGCCAAACACATTACATATAACAACATCAACAACAATGCAACGGGTCCAATGGCAACAAATAATCAATTTTGTAGCTTTAGGCACAAAAAAAAACGAGAACTTTCTGGAATGGAGCAAAGACATAGTCAAACCAAAATCTCGCACAAGTCAAACACTTTTGTAGATGAAGAATACAAAGAGAGACGAGAGAACACTCAGGCAAAAACAAAACGTAAATTTTTTGAATTATACCATTTAAATTAAAAAGGGAGCAGAAGCTAATCTCGCTTAGTGTTCAGCTTCCTCTGAAGAGACTTTAGAGGGTTTAATAAAGTCAACGGCTTTTCACCGGAGATCTCTCTGTAAAAGGAAGGAAGGAAGGCCCTTTCTTCTTCTACGACGTTCGGAGGGATTTTGAATCGGTTCTAATTAGCTTCTTCTACGGTGGAGAAATTCAAAAAGCGTTTCGTTTTTTTTTTGATTTTTTTGATTTGTGTGTTTTTGTATTTGTCTGATAAGGTAGGAAGGATACTTACTAGTGGGTCCCTTTAGTCGCTTGAAAATGGACGGCATCGGTTGATTGTACGTTATTACTCCAGATTCAGAGTTTTTTTTGAAAAAAACTTAGCTGTTAAAATCACTTCTCATTAAGAAAATTTTCAAAATAATATTATCTTCTGTAGGTAGACTGTATCGGTTGAAGATTATGAAACTAAAACAAGTGGTTTGGTTAGGCTTGATGTAAGTGAGGATGTTGATCAAGTCTAGGCAAAAAAATAAAACAAGAGAGTATCACGAGAAGGGTCCAGGAAAAACCCTAGCCGTCAAGAGAGAAAAAAAAGAGAGATTTTTTAGTTTCAAACCGATGGCCGGAGGCTTCTATAGCTCCGACATCAGCTTGCTTAATTTTTCTTATTTCTATTTCTTTGATTTGTTTTTTTTATGGTCTTCTAGTTTGTTTGATTATCAATTTATTTTGAATCAGGCAAAATTTTGGATTGTTCTTCTGTATGGTTTTTCCAATGGATTTGGAATGGAAAAAGCTTCGGTTCAATTGAATCGTATAGAAAAGGTAATTGACAGATCTACTGCGGATGGTGGCGACGGGTCTTACCGGTTTCAATCGTTGATGGTTCTTCACTTGATGGTGATGGATTTTTTGCTGCAAACTATGGTTACTTCGAAAGACAACATGAAATTCTATGGAACGGTAATCTCTTTGGCTCTGTTATTATCAATAGAGCAATATAAAGAGTTGTCTTCTCTCGTTGGCTCCTATTGGAGTACTAAAAAGAGAGTAACAATCGTTCTCAACTAAGTCTGAAGCGTGGTGTTTCTGGATTAATATGAAGATTATCTCCTACGAGATTCAACTATTTTAGAAGCAAATATGGAGCTTTCACATGGAAATTTTTAGTCATCCATACACTAATAGATGTGTTAGTTTACTTTGGATCCCTACTAGTGTATCCTTTTTCTATATTGTTTTTGTCAATTCTCATTGTGTAAAACTATTTGCCTAAATGGCTTAATAATACAATCCAGCGTTAAAAAAAAAAAGTGAGGATGTTGATTTGAGTTCTCTTAGCCCTAATCATATATATATATTAACATCTATAATCTTTACTTTTGAAACATGGTTCAAAAAAGAGTTCGCAAATTTTATAGAGCTTAAACTACAGGCTATTTATTTTGATTCATAGATATTATAAATTATTTAAATATATATATTGAAATTATAAATTTGTTAGATTATGCAAGACTGAATTTTAGGAAATTTTCATATTTACCACATTATTGTTATCATTATTTATGTTTACCTTTATTAAATAAATATTTTTTTTATAAATAACTTCTTTATTAAGAGGCAAAATATCTTATACTTTTGCTTTATATATATACAATAAAGAAAAAACTTTACTTTTTATTTGGTACAATTATTCATGTTTATCTTCTCTAAATGAATATTTTCAAAAACACATAAACATGAGATTTCATTAAGGAGACAAAATATATTGAGGACCTTCATTTATAAATATAAATAATTATTTAAATAAAAAATATATATTTAAAAAAGAAATTCAAATTTTACTTTTACAAATTTGAATTTTTCTTTTGATTTTTTCAATTTTCATTTTGAAATTCAACAATTTTTTGAACTATTTGTAATTTTAAATATTTATTTATATCTTTATTGAAATTTTAAACTTATCCTCTAAAAATTCATCCTTCAAATTTAAACTCTAAACCTATACTAATTAACTATAGGATTATAAATATCTATTTACTTTTTTAAAATCAAAGATAAATATCGATAAATAAATATAAAAATAAGAAAATGTTAATTTTGACAACTTCTCTATGATAAATATTTATTTAAGTAAAAGAAAACTAATATTTTTTGTAGTTTGTGAATTATAGATTTTCAAATTAAAACTTTTTGTTTTTCCAATACTTTTTTAATTTTTTTGTTGAAATTTCTTTTTAAAATTCAAAAATTCTTTTTTCAACTATTTTTTATAAATTTTAAATTTTGTTAAGTATTTATTTATATATTTATTAGAATCTTAAACTTCACATTCCAAAACTCTACCCGAGCAACCTTCCACTCCCAACTCTTAAACTCTACTCCACATTCCAAAATATTTGTGGTTTTATATTATTTCTATTTCGACCCCATAGTTTCCAAACCTTTATGAGTGTGCATCTTAAATTGAAAAACTTACCAAAAGAACATCTTTGAAGATTGTGATAGATCTTCACAAAATATTTGGCTGTTTAAATTTTGTGTTAATTGTAATTTCACCCCTGACGTTCTATTTATGACACTTTAAACCCAAAATCTTTGCCGTTTAAAACTATTTCCATTTTTCGATCCCCATAGTTTTAAAACATTTATACAATGTGCATCTTAAATTAAAAACATATAAAAAAGAACCAAATTGTCGATTGAGAGATAGATCTTCTACACAAAGATATAAAAAGAAAATTAATTTGTAGTTTGGATTGGTTTGGAACAAAAAAGAAGGGAGCGAAGAAGAGATAGAGATGGGGAACCAGAAGCTTAAATGGACGGAGGAGGAAGAGGAGGCGTTACTCGCCGGCGTTGAGAAGCATGGTCCCGGAAAGTGGAAGAATATTCTCCGCGATCCTGAATTCGCTTTTCCCCTCTCTAGTCGCTCCAACATCGACCTCAAGGTCTCTTCTTTGATTCTCCTCAAAAAGTTTGAATCTTTTTTTTCTCCTGATTGTTTTGGTTTGAGAAGCTGTAGTCAACTTCACCTTTTAGTGGCTTTGTTGATTAGTTTTTTAGTTCCTAAGTTGGAAATATTAAGGCTTTAGAGGGTTTTAGACTCTTGTTAGTCAAGTAAACAGATTCTCTGTTTCTTCTGTAGCATTTTTTGAGATTCTTGATTACTTACCTGAGTTCTCGAGCTCGTTGATTCACTATAATTGGCAGTAATGGGACACTATCAAGTGCCAAGAAATGCTGCAACTCTCGTTAACTCTAGCTATGGTTTTAAAACCACCAGTGGTTGTGAATTTAGGGAAGTTGATTGGCGAATTTTTTATATATTCTGTTCTGGTTCTTGAAGAACCAATTATACTCAATCGTTGCCTACTACGAGTTTGACTCCTTATGCTATAGGATTTGTTGATATCTGATAATCAGAGATGAACACACACAAATTAGCAGATTCTGTGGAAATTATGGTTGAGTTGGTGATTACCAGTGTCTTGGTTAACTTATCAACAAGAATTTTAAACATCCAGTGTTTTATGTTCTCTAGGATAAATGGCGTAACTTGAGTGTTCCCGCTGACATTCAAGGCTCAAAGGATAAGGTACGGACACCGAAAATCAAAGCTGCCGCTTTGAATCTAGCTGCCGTTGCAGCTGCCGCTACCAGTTCTCCATCTCCTAGTTCGATCCCTTCTCCAGTTGCTCCGGCTCCCCTTCCTCGTAGTGGATCTTCTGATTTGAACGTTGATGATAGTTGGAATAATATGGTGGATGCAAAGAATGCTCCCAGGTTTGTTTTTCTTTATATTTTTAAGTGCTGTTAGTTGCTAGTCTACTTGCATTGTGACGCTTCCTGATGAGCCATTGGTTTATTAAAGGTATGATGGGATGATATTCGATGCTCTTTCAGCGTTGACGGATCCTAATGGATCTGATGTCACTACCATTTTCAACTTAATCGAGGTTAGGCTTATGTTTCCATTCCCTTTATCATGCATTAGTCATCAGGGGAATATTTTTCTATAGCAGCTAACTTCTGATGATCAAGTTCATGATAATGATCTGGTTTTGTGTATAGCAGAAAAAATATGAAGTACCACCAACTTTTAAAAGGGTACTGGGTTCAAGACTGAGGAGGCTTGCTGCTCAGGGCAAAATTGAAAAGGTTAACCAGATAAAAGCAGGAGTAAGTCTTGAACAAGAGCGCAAAACTTTTACTTTTCTTTCCATCTGTGTTGTTTTCCTTCTCATGCCTGCTTTTTGTATTTTTTTGGTACAATGCAACACCAGACGCAGAACTTCTATAAGATGAATGATAATAGCTTCTCGGGACTGAGAACGCCAGTTGTAGCGAGACCTAAAGAGACGAATGTGAAACCTCGGCAGACAAACAGTTCAGTGTCCACAGTGTCGCAGGAGAAGGTAAATCACGCTTCAGTAACCGCAGCGTTTAAGCTCGCGGAGGTAGAAAGATTATTAGAATTGGTCAAAGGAGCTGCAAAAGAGAGAGATAGGATGATAGAACTGGCAGAACGAGCTGAGATTATTCTACTGCTAGCGGAAGAGTTGCACGAAGCATGTAAATGATTCTTTCATAAAAAGCCATGACAAAAGTCTCAGTGTTTAGGACTATTTGGTGTCTTTGTGTCTGATGTTTTCAGATTTGTTTTGTTGCAGGTTCTCAGGGAAAGATTGTGGAACTGAATTGAGGTTGATGGAACAAACGAAGCAAGCACAGGGTGAGTGAGCCTTTGTTTTTTGGTACATATACTAATAGTAGTAGGCTATTAGCTTGCTTTCTCTTGTTTTGAATGATACCAACTTAGGAGGAATAGTTTGCACAAATAACATTTAACGTTCTTTCATTTACTAATAAATAAAAAAATAGGTAGTTGAGGATAATTAGCCAAAAACAGAAATGTATTGTGTGGCTTGGAAGAGAGTATTAAACTCTATTTTTTTCTCTGTCATGTTTACTCTTTTCAATCAAATACAATTAGTATAAGTGAAACGTACTTAACAGTCTTAAGCTTACAACTAAAGTAGAACCAAGAACATGTGGGTTTTATCTTTTAGCATCATCAGTTTTGTGTTTAAATTTTTTGATTGTAAATAAACAAAGTAAATCAAACAAGTTGTTGAACACATTAACAACTCACTAAAAATATAGTTTTTGTTTGTTATGGACCGTCTCAAGACATTCTCTGAATCAGTAAAAAAATTGAAAAGATGTGTTTTCTGTCACAATCAACCTTTTGGGTTTGCTGTCAGAACAGTGAGAGAGAACTTAAGAGTGGAACAAAAAGAACATCCTTTCTGGGTGTTGCAATCTGTCCTAAGTATACACACACACAAAAACCTATGTATAGTTCTGATTCAGAAAAGTTACAAACATCAGTCAGCTATATAAATCCTTTTTTTACTTTCTTCCATGTCATACCACACAACAGCATATATAGCTGTGTCCAGTCTGAATCAAAATCCATCGCCCACCTCCATGGAAGAACCTGATACTGTTTCTACAGGTTGAAAAACTCAAGGGATAAATCAGGGATCTCTGTGGAAGCCCCAGAAGCTAGACTGATCTTGGGGACATTGTATCTTGAGCTGAACAGTTTGACTGTTTCTTGTTGAGTTTTGACCGTAGATGTCTGATTTTTGCGTCAACTCTAGCTGTGAACCCGATCTTTGTCTTCTCCCGTGCTTTGTTACGCTCCCGTGTCCACATCCTTCTATCCTCTAAGTCTCTCTTGTAGTATTTGATCTCTTGAATGATGTGATGATCCATTGGATTCAAGAATCTCTGGAAGGATATGTGAGCAAAGTAAGGGAGAACTGTGGTCACTGTGACCAAAAATGTGGATATCCAATATATGGGAGCAGGAGCAAGAATCTCAGCTAGAATTTTATAGATGTTGCCTGAAAGACTCGGAGGCATCATTCCATAGAGTGCCACAAATAGATACCACAAACCAATGCTTCCCCAGATCAAGACGTGTTGGATCCATGTGAAGTGGCTCATCGTTAAAGCGATTTGCACATTCACAGCCCAGATAATGCAAGTAAACATGGTAGTGCCAACAGCATCCATGTCAGCGGTTTCACCACTTTCTCTGAAAGCTTGCTCATAAATGACTCCTATGTTGAGGAAGAATATGGCAAGAGAGGAGTAGACGCCATTTCCCATCCAGCCAAGTATTCTATACCAGTCAAAGAAGAGATTCTTCTTCCCTTGTTGATATAACGCAGGAAACTGCAGAACAAAGAAAGAGTTTCTTGTGGTGAGTGGAGTCTAATCTTTGACTTCCTATAACAAATAAAAAATCAAACCTTACCTGTAAGCAGATCTCAGAGGAAACATCTTGTTCAAAGACTCCAAGGGCAATCACTGGCAATGAGGTAAGGACAACGTTGAAGAGTAATAGGTAGTAGTCATTATACACTGATTGCCCTGAAAACCCAGTGAACGCCTCAAAATAGAAGAGAGTGAGACCAAATGCTATGTTTTTGTAGAAGAAATAACATATCTGGATACAGAACAAATGAACAATTTAAGTTAGAAACCATAAGTGTGTAAAGAGTAGAATAGGACATCTTGTTAACACATTACCATTTGAGCTATTCTTTTATAGCACCAGTGTCCATGAACAACGAGTAATCTTTCCAGAAACCTGAACTGGGCAATAGAAAAATCGCTTGCCATAACAGCCTGCAGAACAATTGATAATCAGGCATTTGCTACAAGTTGGGACACAAAAATACATTCTATAAAAATCATATTAACCTGCATTCCTTCGACTCCACTAATGCCAACACCAATGTCAGCTTCTTGAATCATTCCAACATCATTTGCACCATCACCTATTGCCAATGTAGTTTTCCCGGTTCCCTCTTTAACTAACCTTGTTACCTTGTTTTCGAAACAAAGCAGAAATAAACAAAAATTTGACGGCAAAGGAACACATGAAGCTGAAAAGTTCAGATAAGAGAAGGGAGCAAATACCAGAGCTTTCTGCTTGGGAGATACACGGCAGCAAATGACTGACGCACAATCAACAGCCAAAGCAAGAAACTGAAACTTCATATCATCCTCCAATGCATACGTTAGAGTTTTCCCGTCAATGATCAAAGCAAATGCAGCATGTGGATCTTTCTCTAGCTTCACCATTTGTACAGCCTTAGTGAGCTGATTCAAAATATTCTCCTTCACAGCCTGATTACATCAATAGACATATCAATTGTAGTTTTTCTACATAGCGTTCTCATTCTTAAGGGAATTCATTTTATTTCCAAACCTTTGATTCATGAGATCCTCCTTCTGAGTTCATCACAGTTATACATATCTGTTTCATGCCTTGCCTAAGTAAACTACATGAATATCTGCAGTTCAAAACAAAAGTTAGTCAAAGAACTTCGAATATGAATGAATCTACTTCAGTGTATCGTTCTAACCCGATGTTGATTGCTGTTTCCATCTTATCCCCGGTTAAAACCCACAACTTGAGGCCAGCTTGGGCAAGTTTATCTATGCATTGGGGGACCTAAAGTCAAATGGAAAGAAGAAAAAAAAGAAACTCAGTTTTACACAAAATAAGATGGGAATCAAGGTGTCTTGTCTAATATATGCATACCCCTTTCTGAAGTTTGTCCTCCACAGCAGTTGCACCTACAAGAATAAGGTCTTTTTCGATCATATCTGAGATCTTCTCAAGCAAGTCATCTCTGTCAGATCCTATAGAAGTTTTGGCCTTGTGAAACTCAGCGTTCCAAGCTGAATATTCATCCTCATCAAGCTTTCTGTATGAAAGGGCAAGAGTACGAAGTCCCGCTTCTCCATATTCATTTAAATGCTTAGTGGTAGGTCCCAAATATGTTTTTCCATTTTTCGCCAGTCGTTCAAAAATGATACTGCAAACATGTAATAACAACTGCTTGAAATTTTATAAGACAACACAAAACTCAAAACATTTTGATCAAACCTGTCAGCTCCTTTGCATAGCAGAAAAATCTGCCCTTCCTCGTCACGTATAACTACTGACATTCGCTTCCGTTTGCTAGTGAAATCCAACAGATTCAAAATGTTATACTCCCTGCATTGTTTCTAATACATGTTCAGGATGTGTGCTTTTAACCCAATATTCAAAAAACTAAAGATAGATCTCTGAAAGATCTCACCTTTCAATGGTTTGCCCTGAAGAAGACAACCTTTCATGAACATAAACACTTGACTGAGTTCTCTTGCAGAACTCAAAACCGAACTCACTCGCAGCAGTAAGAAAAGAAGCTTCATCTGGTGACTCTGCTTCATACGTGTACTTGCCAGTCTCCTCGTTAAGCTCAGGAATAGCTGTGTGACAAATAGCTAATATCCGAAAGAACAGCAGAATGTCATCAGCATGTGGCTCTCTCAACCAGTTCCCATTCATTAGCCGAACATCCTCAAAACCAAACCCCTTTATAGGGACTCTAGGAGTCATCATCTCACCTTCATGATTATTACTGCTACTTTCTACCTCGATTTCTTGAACACTCATCCTTGGAGTAGTTGCCCTACTGTGATCGTCAAGATCAACAGCCATTTGCTGTGCAGCAGCAACTTCCACCTCGCTGGAACGAACTCCATAAGAAGTCCCAGCGATTGAGCATTTCAGAAAATCCATCTGATTACATGTCAAAGTTCCCGTTTTATCAGAAAGGATAGTATCAACCTGTCCTAGCTCTTCATTAAGATTCGATGTGCGTGCATGTGCTGGAACCCCACTCTCACTGTCATACATATGCAAATCCTTATTGATGAAAGTCGCTTGCAAGACTTTCACAACCTCAATGGAGACGTAAAGAGAGATGGGTATCAAATATCCGTAAAGCAACAGAGCAGTGATCAGATGGACAACTCCGGCGTAAACAGGATTACTAGGATTGGTTAAATTCTCAGGCTCCTCAGGTTTTAAGTACCACATTTTCGGCATGTGGAACTTTGTCTCCCAAGCAAAACCTGATGAACTTATGCAAGAGATCAGTATAAGCAGAACGAGAAGCGTGTAGATGATATAGTCCATTGTCTTTTCAATCCTACTCCTTTTAGAAGGTGAGCTTGTTGAGTTCTGCATCACTTTAGTATCATGCCCTGTGAACACCACCACTCCATAAACATAAGGTGTATTCCTAAGCTTTGAATCTCTTAACAGTATCTGACTTGGATCCAAAGGAAATATCTGCCTATCATACTCAAGATTGCCAACAAACGTGTAAAGACTAGGATTTGGATCTTCACATCTTATAGTTCCCGTGAAGTCTTTAAAAGATTCATCATCATCTAGTGATAATGTCACCTCCAAGGACCTCTTCACTTTCAAGTTAGTCTCCCCATCTAAATTCATAGTCTCTACATAACAAATCCCATCCTCATAACTAGAAGACAAAAGAAGCAAATCAGCAGGGAAGAAACCGTCTTTCTCCACTTTAACAATATCCCCAACACTAATCTTCTTCCACTTCTTGCGACGAAACTCACCATCACGCTTATGAACCAAAGCTTTCCTCGCATTGATCTTCACATCTTGCATAAACCTACTCCAATCCTCAAGCGCCTCTTTCAACATACTAAGCCCCACAACAAACACCAGTGGAGCAATCATGCTCCATTTGTTAAACGGAGAGAGAGGAAACACCGAGAGAATGGCAGCTACCAAGAAGTAGAAGTTCGCAGCGCGGTGAAACTGTTCGTAGAGAGACTTGGGAAAGAAAGTGATCAAGTTGTACCTAGTGGTGGAGACGTAGTTAGAACGGTATCTCAGAGGCTTCTTCTTGTGCATATGAGGCTGGTTACAGTACACAGTTCTACTAAACCCTGGACCTTGGATTGGGTGA